CAGTGGTACATCATCCGAAGTACTACTCGGGAGGTCGTAGTTTCGACTCGGAGTTCTTTTTCTCCGAGTACGTATACCTAAGTATGTTGTTCACTAGGCAGCATCATCTTTTACTTGAATCACCAAGCGTAAATTTACCATCATTTTTGCGCAAAAGCATCAAATATCGACATCCCTATCCCAGCAGTATGCAGAATATTATCATCATGGATTCAATTAAAACGGCCTCACCTTCCACGTTAGGACATTGAGTCCCAGTTTTTATCTAGCTTTTCACAACTTCCAATGGTCTACGATGAAAATAGATAACACATCTATGCAAGATTGGAATGAACCCACTTCTCGAAGATCTTGCTCGAATGGTCGGGAACGTTAGCCGTGGTCGCTATCTTTTCAAATGAGGAGTGTCTGCTTTCGTAATAACGCACAACTATGATGGCCCTCTTTCAATAAAAATCGGCTGTATCCAATTTCTGATAACCTTGAACAAATGGAAAAAAGTAACAACTGTGTAATAACAAATACCTTTTTATTCATCCCAAGCGTTGTCAGGGATTTTCTTGAAATGAAATTGGAGATAGAAAAGATATAGGATATTTTATCTACTCTGTTTCTAGATCTAATTTTGTTTAAAACTAGATTTAGGTTACGTAATCTTTGTAATGATATTGAAATCTAGGAAACGTTGTTTGAGAAAATGAATAAGAATTACAAATAAAAATTGAATCGTGTGAAGTAAGGATGGCGGCTTTCTGCTCATCTGTCTCACACTTGTTTGCTTTTCCTTCGCTGTGAAATTTTATCACGCTGCAACTTTTTAATAGGTAATATTTCCTTTTAGCATGTTGTAACCCGGAAGTCCATGTATTTTGCGAAACTGTTGTACGCCATAATCTCTTTCTTCTCGTGTCACAAATTCTAAAAGAAGATCTAAACCCTGCGGGATTGATGTGTGATCAGTTCGCAAGAGTTTTACCATAAGAGTCTTGTTAAAAAAATCTCAAAGCCTTTCTTGGCTGCTAAGAACTGCACGATGATTTTAGCTTTTCCCTCACGGGCAATGATACAGACAGCCACCAAATTTAACAGTAGTACGAAGGATTTCTGGTGAATCCGAACTTTTTCAGCTGAGCTGCGCAAGAAAGTAAAAAAGATTGGTGGAATTCAAGTAGTTTTTATTCAAAGACGCAAAATATTTGCATAATGATCGCTCGTTATTTCAAATTCTGCCTCTGCAACACCTTTTGCTCTCGTTTTGCATTTGCATATGGAATAAAATATTTTTCTGTTTCGTTTGGCCTGGGTGACACGTTTTTAGTAAAGAAAGCTTCGTTTGAATGATTTCGACCGTTTGAGATCAAGGTACTAGTAAAGTAAACGACTTGCTACGGGCAGGGGGTAGGTTGGGGGAGCAGTAGTTCTTGATGTATTATTGTAAGTCTTCATGAGAGTTTACAGACGCACGGAATTACGTGCCCCCGTCTTATAAGTATTAGAGCTCCAATTCTACATTTTCTAGCTATTTGTACTTCTTTTATTACTTCATTTAATTTTTTCTCAATTTGTAATGACCTGAGTAAACTTGAGTTCCCACAACTGCAACACAAAAATCGGTTTTTTTGTACGTCTTGCGTGCCTACGCTGCGCGTCAAAACTGCCGTGGTAAGCTGGGCCTAGCGCACTCACGCGGACTTTGCGGTGGCGGGCTCAAGAAAATTTTGAATTGATTGATCATTCGGACATTCATCGGAAATACGTAACGAGTTGTTTTAGAACGGGAGGTAAAAGCTGTGAGGGGATTATCTATGAGTTACGGAATGCGACCATTTTAATGGGTTTATACTTGTGACATTAAATCAATTTCTGGCTTGTATGTCGGTGCTCCGACATGAAACAAGCCTTGATCACGTTCTCAAGCCGTCATACGTACAACAAAGCCTCGCTCGTCAAGTGTACACACGCTATTGACGATTTGAGGACATGAAATGAATCCAGATAGACTTGGTCGAATTCCACCGCCAACAAGGCGACTTGTAGTGCGAAAAGCGAACAGCCAGAGGGATTTACGTCCTATCACCGAACGGGTGAGTATTTTACGGTGTTTTTGTTCCGTTCCTTCGACGAAATGTAGGCACGTATAGTTTACTTCCAAATATAATTTGAATGCTTCTTGGCGAGTTTACGGATTAATTAAAGCATACTCTCCGAGTTCCCCAGGATTATCCTAAGCTTATTTTATCTGATTTTTTTCCTTCTAGGCGACTCTCGATAAGGTTCTGGGTTTGACAGTCTCCAGGAACGCAGCTTTAGCCTGTGACCCGTTGTCTGGAGTAGTCGCTTATCCGGCCGGGTGAGCCAAACTTTTTATAAATCCAGACATTTCTTGTCGTGAATTTTGCCAGCATACAAATTAATTTTGCCTCAAGGAATGGCGTGGGTTATATAATGTGGTTAAGTTTATTTTCTGGATAATATTTTCGCCTCTTTGAGGTATCGGATAAAGAAATATTTCGCCGATAAAATGTGTAAATAACAGGAGGTTGCACTGAAGGAAAGGAAGATTGTACGTGACGACTTGTTGCTTGAGATACATGATATGTAACTAACTTACTTAAGAATCCTTTTTAATTTGCAGCTACATAATTTGTTTTCACGAAGACAAATGGACGACGCTTATCAAAATATTTCAACTCATAATAATAAGGAGGTTATCTCAAGCAAAAATATTCTTGCGAAAACCTATTGTTAAATTTTAATCACGACTTGGCTGTTTCTTCCGAGTAATTATTTGGATTTTGTTCTGAGCTGTTGCTAGTTTAGTGATCTTGTTGAATTTCCTCCGGATAAATAAAAAACGTGAAGAAAAGGCGACACCGATGTTCGCCGTATTGTTTTCATGCGAAAAAAAAAATGCTGAAATAACTTTGCTCCGCTGGAAGCATATATAATTCATAATTTTTTCTCTGATCTCACACGTCTTTTTTTAGAAAACTGGCGTTGACGTTGAGCTAAATAATTGCATCCAAAATGAAATATTTAAGCTATACTTTAGCCCTAATCGGACGTGTTGACTGAAATTGCTGGTAGTTCTGTTGATAATATAACGGCAGTTGAAAATTGCATACAGGTTGACTAGAATTGAAAGAGTACAAAAAAAGTTATTTCTTGCGTGTAAATTGTATGTTCTTCTAAATTGTGTCTTCGAATATTGCAAGAGGAACGGAGAACTCAAGCTTTAAAACTCCCTGTTAAGCACTTTAGGAAAGAATCAAATTTAATCGCCGCGGCTAGTTTCCTGGAGAGAGTTATTATGGTTTCCTAGCTATTCGCTCTTTGTCTTTTATTCATTTGTTATATTTCGATATTGTATTTGCTCGCACTTGAGGGCAGCAAAGTAATATTTTCGAGCGATTTCAGAAACAGTCTCGATTCGGCTAGTTTTTTTCACTCGTGAACCGCAAGGTCAATTCTAATCTTTTCGATCGCTGCGTCTAGAGGGGCAGTTGTTATTGCATACTTCACAGCTGTTGAGACATCACGATACTCAGTTCGTTGTCAAGTCATACTATATTTGCATTTTGTTTTGCTCTAGGAAGGGGTAATTAGAATAATTACTCGCTTGCGAAGAATGAGGTATATATTATGAGAGGAACAAAGTAAAATTAAGTCGATGAAATGATTGAATGATCTAGGTACATCTATTTATTTCCCTTAGGGAATGACCATTCTTAAAAGTGAGAAATGTCCCATGGAGTTTGGTATGAAATTACCTGTAAATTTGACAATTCGTTTATTCAATATTTGCTTCATGGTAGCATGTTTTGTTTTGTATTTGACAGCATGACCTTGTTTTTGAAAATTAAAAGATAAGCTTCCAAAAATCAACATGGTAACTTTAGAGTTTTCTTGAAACTAGAGAAGAAGTTTGAAGGCCTAGGTTAGATATGTGGTTTGAACATGGACTATGCAAAACTAATTGATTTGTATCAAATATCACAGGTCACCATATATTTGATATGCTTGACCGACACATTTAATATACTTAATAGGCGTAGGTTGTTTCGAAACTGAAGCATGCACAAAGTTTATGCAGTGTAGTTGGCACACAGTCAATCTTTGCTGATGCCATTAAAGTTATGAATTCACAGTCAAAGAAAGAAAAAGCTTCCCAGCACCATATTGCACTAGTTATAATATCTGTTTACAGAGTCGTCCTTCTAAAAGGAGAGAAAAAAGCTTGGCCACTTGGTCGATATACCCATCTTTCTTTAATGTGGACATTACATTATAAACCAGTCTTATAAACTCTTCTTCATTCTCTCTGCTTCTTTCTTGAGTGTACTGTACATGTACCAAATATTTAGCACACAGTCATATGTATTTAAATCTCCATGCGTGTTTGAGTGGTGTGGCTACTTGCAATTCAACACACAGAAACGGAAAGCATCAGATGCATAATTTTGCTGTTGGAGTGGCGAACAGACTAAAACAATTGAAAATTTGATGTCCATTAAGTTCGCTTAGGTTTAGAATGAGGTATTTACAAGGCAAAAATATATTTAAACGATAAAAGCCAAACATTTTTTCATTAGTTCATCATCAGGGTACATCATGATATTATATTATGATACTGTTGCCCAAGCAATAATACAAATTTCTCCTTCTCAGGCAGTAATACATAAAATTGCCAGTAGTACCTACGATAATGTGTAGAATCACATGGAATTCTTTAAAATTCATGAGATAGTATGATTGCTGTACCAGTTTGAAAATTTCTTTTAGCTTTTGTGTTATGCAAATGTATCTGCTATTTCCTCCAGTACATTTTCACAGAGTTGAAAGTTGACAATTCCTGTTATTTTCTTTACTAGATGTGTGGTGGTCTTGTTTAACCCTAGGAAGAACCAACAGAGTTTTGTCTTAAATACATCCAGGTAAACAAAAGTTGTTCACACTAGATGTATATAGAGGAAATCAGAAAGCAGCTGACCATGAATATAATTCATAGTTTCCTGTAAGTTTACAAATTTTATTGGTTGATTCTGTAGCCCCCATTTTACAGATGTGTTGCAGAAGTTTCAGTAAAAGCTGACTGCAAACAGAAGGTGGCATATCCTTAACTTTGTTCCCCATTTGTCACTGATGGATTAAAACCTTTGACAATTAACTTGGAAAGTTTTGTAATATAACATGGTGCATGGTTAAAGTTATAAGGTGATTCAGAACTTCTTTACAGCCTTGTGAAAATTAACCCTAGATTATTTATTCTTGCAGGAAGACAATCACTTCTGTGGCTTTCTCTGGCGATGGAAAATATTTGGCAACAGGAGAAGTAAGCTTTCAGTTTGATATCTCATTCAATATTTCTGGGTGCAAGTTTTTTTTGACTGACCTGGTAACCTTGTGATTCAATGATATTGTTCTTCTGCTCCTGAATCACTATTGTGTGACTTGTACAACCATACTTGCACTATTCCTGGACAACTTTATAGAAAAAACCCTGTATGAGGATAGTATAGAACAGTGTGGATGGGGCTGGAAAAAGCAATAAAGCCCAAAAAGGTACAAGCTGAAAGAAGAAAGGAGAGAGATTGAGGGTCATGTAATGACATGCTTCTTGACTGAGTTAAGGTGGGAAAGACATTCATGGTTGCATCACTGAACCAGTCTGTATATCATAACCTTGAGCCAATTATTTTCTGGTTAGTCATCTCACTCAGTCAATTTAACAAATAGATTCTAAGTTGCCATGCATCTGTTCAGTAATAGATCACAGATGACATCAAAATGTGGTAAGAACAAAAAAATGGCACATGAGGTGTGGCCGAGTGTATTACTGATGTTCTTACCACATTTTGACGTCCTCTGTGATCTATTACTGAACAGATGCATGGCAACTTGGAATCTATTTGTTTTATATAATAAAGAATTAAAATATACAGAAAAAGAGTTTTAATGTTAACGTCATCTATACATCTGTCCTCCAAAAGATCATAAGTGAGAACTAATCAGAATGCGTGCATAACTGAGCTTATTATATAAAAGTAGATAGTTTTCCCATTTATAAGCTGCAGGTGCTCTGATGCAATGTTAAGCTCTTTGGACTGGTAGGAGTACTTCTAGCCACTCAAATAGCATTGTTGTAGAAAGTAGAAGAAACCTAGGCTGTGTAATTCAAAACAGAGTCTAAGTTTTGAGAATTTTTCTTTTTTACGTAGCTTTAATTCTTTTGCAATCTCTTGAATAGAGTGGTCATATGCCATGTGTGCGTGTGTGGGACATGGAAGACCAGTCACATCCACAGATATCAGAGATGGTCAAAGGACATAAATTTGGTATTTCATGTGTGGTAGGTTAATAATAATTCATAAAAATATTAATTTCAATAATTATCAATGGCATCTCATTCAGATTATCAATGATTCCAATGTTAGTAATAGTGTTGATTTGATGATTCTGAAACTTATTTTGCAACACTTCACGTCAATGAGGAAGAGATTTCTATGAACATTTTCACAATAAAACATGAAAATGAATCTCCTGTTTAAAGCAGACTCATCATTCTAATTGACAAACTCATGTAGTTATAACTATTGTTTAAAACTATTTCCTTGTAACAAAGCTCATCCAGCTGTGATTTTGTTGGTATTCCAGTTTGAACTAGGCTAGCTTAGTCATGTATTTATGTTCTTTAACAAGGCACATACAGTCTGTTGGCGAGAATATATTATTTTAACTATTTGGTAACTAAGTATTAGTCAGTGTATGCATGAGTTGATAGTAGCTAATGAAATCTTATTGATACTCTTTTTAGGCTTTTTCACCCAATTTGAAATATGTGGCATCTGTTGGATTCCAGCATGACATGATTGTAAATATATGGAACTGGAAGGTAGCTATGATCATACTTTAAATCTGCTTACAGGCAGTAATTTTTAGTGAGATATTTCTTGAGATAACAGATGTTCAGGTTGTTCATTGGCGTCCATTTTTTTATGTCCATGATAGATTTCAAATTACTCTTTTTTTCCTTAACAGAGTGGTACAAAGGTAGCCTGCAACAAAGTTTCATCAAAGGTGGGTTTTCTGTCATACTGTACATCAGTGGTCTTGCTATTCGCAAATAGAGTGGAGTTTTTGTTGTTGTTGTTGTTTTTTTTTTGGTTTTGTTTTGGCTTTTTAATTGCTTTCATCATGAAGGTGGAGTACACACAACAGAGCGAGGCTCCAAATTAAGTGTGCTCTCAAGAGAGGCACTCTGAGAGGAAAGTTCCTAATAACTTGTTTAGCAAAGAATTATGTGATGTCAGCCTGTGATATATTTTAGATAATTATTTACCTGCATTATTGTCAATCTCTAGGCAAGTTTTGATTTTCCAGCATTGGTCACTTTTGTTTAAAATGCCACAACAATCAAGTGAAATTGATTTTCATTAGTCAGACTTCAATTTTCTTCATTCTGGGGTTTTTTTCTCTTTTTTGTCAGGTTTCAGCACTTTCATTTTCTGAAAATGGTAGCTACTTTGTTACTGTTGGTGTTCGTCATGTCAAATTTTGGTATTTTGACACTGAATCAAACAAATCTAAGGTGAGGAAAGTTAAAATTTATATTTTTTGTTTAATTGATCTAAAGATATAATTTTTGTTTGTTGTCTGAGGATTGAGAAATCTTTTGCTATGAAAATAATTTTGATCACTTGGAGAAAACTTTTAACTGACTTATTTAAATGTTCTGTGTTGATTCCAATCTGGCAGGTTTCCAAGACACTGGTAATCAATGGGCGAGCTGGACTTTTAGGAGAGCAGAGGAATAACACGTTTTGTGATGTAGCATGTGGTCGTGGAGTTAACTCTGATATCACTTACTGTGTGACTAGCTCAGGATTATTGTGTTCCATCAATAGCAAGAGAGTGCTGGACACCTGGGTTGAGCTCAAGGTACCTCACAATAAATACTATCCAATTTTCAACCATTAGTACTGTTTAAGTAGTCCTGGGATTCTATAACAGGTCAGACTACTCACCGGTAAGTTGACAGATTTAAATATCACTCAGTCTCTGCTCTGTCCTCTCAATGGAGCAGATGTTGTGTAGTAATGATTGAGAAGAATGAAAGTTTGCAGCAAAAATGTTTGCTGCCAAGTCATCTTTTGTGGAATCTCTTTTGTGCTTGGTAAAGTTATTGGTTGTGTTTTTTATTGTGTCCTGGCATCCCTCAGTCTGAAATTTCCAATCACATGAACAACAAGCAGTTCCTTGACATTTTGTATGGTGTTATACCATGCGAAGATCTCACCAAAGCCTTATCAGGCAGAAAATTTATGAAGGAACTTCTTTAGTTAATAAAATTAGTAATATTAACCCCACCAGGAGGTATGACATTACTCTGTATGATTATCATTTGCAAGTTTATTGTGTTAGCTTTGCCATCAATTATCATAACAGTAAACATGTTTGTTACATGTAATTCTTGTTGTTCCAGACATCTAAAGCATATGCATTGGCAGTCAGTGAACATTACATTATATGTGGATGTGCTGATGGAATAATAAGGTAACTGAGTGAAAGAAGATGTCATTCAGTGAATGATACTGGCATAAAAAGAATTCTGAGTGCTCCAAATAGGATTCTGGCCCACAATGTAAACTATTGGGTCCGCAAGTAATCGTGATAGCCATTAAAGTCTATTTAATTTTTTATTTATTTATTTATTTATTTATTTATTTATTTATTTACCTATGAGCTTCCTATTAGTTCGTCGGATGCTCTACCACTGATTTATAAGAGACTCTTAGCAGGCTAGGCCATTTTAGTAGGTCCATTGTGACAAACTTCCTGCATACTGCTAGGATATGAGGACGATAGAGAGTTTGTAGTTATTAGATATTCAAACTTAGTCACAATTCAATCTGCTTTTTAGTGATGATTTATTTCATTATTATATCTTTGTATTTGTTTGTCAGAGTTTTCAACCCGTTGAAGTTACAGTTTATAGTAACCATTCCAAAGCCTCATTTTCTGGGTGTTAATGTAGCAGAAGGCATTGATTCCAGGTAAAGTTAACATGCTTTTTTATACAAAGGGAGCGTGATTTGAATTGAGAATACATTTTTCAGTTAATCCAAGAGGTGGATTATTGGGACTTAAGCCTAAAAATAAAGTAGTGTCCGTGCCATAGTTAAAGGTTCGCTTTATGGCATACAAGTCTGGTTAATATTTTTTGCTGTGTTTAAGTTAAGTTCATTCTAATTGTCTTTTTAGTAACCCTCTGTCAAAGTCTGAGCAGGCAGCTTATCCAGACGCCGTTGCTGTAGCGTTTGACACAGTAAACCATAAGGTACGTTCATGTCTTTGATTTTATCACATGTTATGGTGACAAAAATTATTGACAGGCAAGTCTTTTGCTTGAAACGGTTTGACAGTACGATGTAGCCGTGGGTCAAGGAAAATCTGGCAAACCTGGCAAACCATAGAATTTGAGTGTGGATCACGAAAAGTCATAAAATAGGAATGAAAAGTATATTTCGAGAACATCTAAGAGAACAATGCGTTTACTACATGTCTTGACCCTTTTCACGTTGTATTGAATGCATTTTCTTATTCTGAGTCACCTTGCCGAAAATTTTCTTTCTAATTTTCTTATAGCTGACGTGTGTTTATAACGACCACAGTCTGTACACATGGGACGTGAAGGACATGAAAAAGATTGGAAAAGCTTGGTCGTCACTTTATCACAGTACATGTGTATGGGGAGTTGAGGTAAACTTTAAGTTTGGCGGAACAGATTGGGCACTCTCAGTTTTTACCCTCAGGTAGCCAATGGGAACACGGGACCGACTTCATCTTTCCCACTTACAGATTAAGTCAACCATACAATATAAATTCATGTGTAAATAACGGTCCTGTAAACAGAGGCGTGAACTGTTTACTTGCTTGTAGGTGTTAACTGAGTCAGGTGGGGCCTCATGGGAAAAGTTGTGGCTCGTGGTCATAAGGTGCGAGGTCCAAATGTCATGACCTAGAGCCAAATATTTTTCCTGTTTGGCCTGACCTGTTTCAGTCAATAAGCATTTTATCACATGACCTCCTTTCTTTTTTCAACATTTTCAAGGCCGTACGGAGTGCTATGATTTTTCTTTCTCAGCTCGCGCTATCGCGCACGGCTCTCATCCAGAGATTTTACTTTATTTTCCAGAAATTTTTTTAATAAAACTGCGTACAGGTCTTTACGGGACCCTACGATGAGGACGGTTAAATTCAGCTCACCTCACCACATGTTTTTAAAATTGTTGCATATTCAATGTTGCAGGTTTACCCCAATGTGACTGATAATCGCCAGGCGGCTCTGCCACCGGGATCCTTTCTCACATGCTCGTCTGATGACACTGTTAGAGTATGGAACATTGAAGAAGGTGATGATAATTTCTGTATTCTGTAAGGTTTTGCGTATTCTATGCTTCACGATTTGGTTCCTTTTATGCCTAATTTTGATTTCATGATTTTGCTTGAGGATTTAATTTGATAGATTGGTATGGTCTCTTTCAGGAACAAGTATATTATTTGAGAGAAACGTTTATAGTAAGGTTAGTTTGGTGCAATTTAGATGGTCCAAATTTTTTATTTTTTGTTGCAAGATTAAGCTGCATACGAGACTGACTGAAGCAGGTGCAAGGACATATACTGATTCCAGTTAGAATGTAGCGACTAGAAATATTGTTATTCCCTGTGTTAGGGAAAGTAGTCAATCGAAGGTCACCATGAAGCGTTTCTTCAATTTTCCTTACCAATTTGCTCTCACCTGTTCGTATTTATGGGTGAAGGAGAGAGAGAGGCAATGTCCCTCCACAGTATGGGTCTCTTGCCCGTGATCACGATACAGTGACCCTTATGACTCTCACTCGAACCTTTCAATGTCGAGTTCAGAGCGCCAATAGGCAGGTCATCGTGTCTCAAACATTATTCAGCCCTGAAGTTGCAAATATCTTTGGAGAAAAGCGATAAGGGTAGCTCTTGCAGTTTTTTTGGAGCGCTTATGAAGGCCGTTACACCTGTTTCTTCTGTCTGTTTCCACGAAGCAATTGAAGATGGATAACTTCTCACCAAGAACGTCCTTGGATAAGTTGAATCCTCAGCATGAATTTGATGAGTTGATAAAAGTTTCCTGGATTTCAATTTATTTGCAGGAAATGATGAAAGTCTTATACACGGAAGATACAGTGGCAAATCTTAAAGACAATGATATTAGCCCTGGTAAGTGAATACTGAAATATTCTTAACGAAACAATTTTCTCCCAAACTTCCAAAGATAAAGCTGCTTGCTTTTATGATTTTCTTTTTGGTAATCTGTGGTTTTCATTTGTAACAGCCATAAAGAACATGCGAGATTCTACCGGTGATACGCGAAATGCTGGAGTAAGATGTCTTCGCATTAGTCCTGATGGGCAAACACTCGCCACGGGGGACAGATCTGGAAATGTCAGGTAAAAAAAAATAGGCTGCTTTGTGTAGCAATCGACAGGAGTCTTAGATGGGACCAAAAACTGAAATAAAGTGTACTAAGATCAAAATACATCCGTGCACTATGCTTACCTAGTGGTTACTTGCGCCAAAGTAGAAAGGAAAAAGTTTACCAACATGTTAGGTATACAACTTGGAAGCGTTGCAGAGCTTTAACAAATAAAACTTCTTAGTAAATCGTCTGGTTAATATGAATTTCTGCACGTTTAAGTACTGCCTACACAAGTAAAAGTCACGGTGCATCCGAATGATGCAGATCTCATTACAGCTACGTTATCAAGTTGAACTTTATGGGTTGAATGTCCGAGTTCTAGGTTAAACTGTGACCATACGGTTCTTTTTTTTCGCTTACGTCATCAAAATTTTGTCGATAAAATGCCCGAGATAGAGTTACCCTCAAGCATTTGCGGAAGGAAGTCAAGGCACACATATGACTTGTTTACGAAGAGAGAGGGTAAACAAAATTCATCCGGGCTTTTTGTTTACTTTTCTGGCATATTTCTCGACTGTGGAAAGCCACAGAAAAGTAAACAAAAGTGCAGAACAATCCTGATGAGCCATGTTGGATTTCGGATTATTTTCCGGTCCTGGAAGGGTTTACAAAATAATTCACTTCTCACGTGTGTTTTTTACATCAGGGTATACGATTTGATGTTTTTCGATGAAGTCGCAAAGATTGAGGCGCACGAGTCTGAAGTTTTGTGTGTGGAGTTTTCACCCAATGAATCAGGTATGAATGTCAACCCAAGGGATTTTATCTTAATATGCGGCTGGAGTTTATGTGGTAATTGTAGTTTGAGTTTTCACCATGCCGTTTCTTTCTCTTGGCAGGACACAAACTACTGGCATCCGCTGGCCGAGATCGACTCATTCATATCTTTGATATCGTGAACAACTTTGTCCTTGTTCAAACATTGGATGATCACTCAGCATCAATCACGTCAGTCAAATTTAACGGTAGGTGAAAATAAATTTCTGCTTGTCTCAAATTTGAGCCGAAAAGTTGCCTTTGAATGAGTGTTTCGTCTCGGAAACTCAATTCTGTTGACTTTTCTTCAGAAGCAATCCTTGCTCTTTGTAGGGTTTGCTACAATATATTTTGACTGTAATTCTGTTGAACATTTACATTTTAGTGTCAGAATCCGATGAGTTACAGCTTCTGAGTTGTGCAGCAGACAAGTCGATCATATTCAGAACAGCCCAGCAGGTGAGGTTATCAGTTTTGCTACATGAGATAAAGAGAACGAATAAAGAAAGGTTACACAAACTGGAGAGGTCAGAAATCCAGCAGTAAACACCTTCCCCACCTGAGAAGGCTTAAGTTTTTGCAGACATAGATACGTGCTGCAGGAATCATAAATGCATGACTAACACCGCTTGCCCGCTTTGATGAATGGCCGACCCATTACGTCACAAGCTAATAAACTTGGCTTGCTGGATTACCATATTTTTTGGGGTATGGAGCCTACGCTTGCGTCTTCTCGCTCTCCGAGTGCTGCAGCTCCGTTGTGTGGTCAAGCAGAAACAAAAGTGTCGTGGTTCTATTTACCATTTATTTTAAATTTCCTTCTAAATTCTGGGTTTGTAATTGAAGGGGCTGGCATATGGTATCCCGTCTTGTTTCTCTTGCTGCTTACCGATTATCTCCACTTTTCAGTAAATAAAGCGTTTTTGTTTGTACTCGTACTTTGTCTTAAATTTTACTCTGCTGTGGCACTCTTACTCGAGTTGAATTTATTTTTTGCTGGAAAGGAATTGGAGTTTGTCGAAATTTCGCTGTGAAGCACTTTTTAGGTCGAGCTGTTTGAGCAACCATCTCTATTCTTGTTTCTTTGCAGAATCCCGAATTTCAGTTTGTTCGCACAACGAATCATGTTGGTAAAACAACATTTTACGACATGGACATTGATCCATCAGGGTGAGTCTGGTTTATTATTAAACGAAATTGCCGAGTGCACAAGATTTACGAGAAACAATTTAAAAGAAGTATTCCGGTTTTTCTTTCAGGAAATATGCTGCTACGGCTTGTCAGGACAGAGGTGTTAGGTACGGCTGTATTCTATATTTGTGGACCTTTTTTGTTTTCGATCATGACAAATCATGCAAAATGATTAATTATTTTTACCATTGAACTGATTTTTGTACATCAATTTCGTTCTGCTCCAAGAGTGTATGATGTGAACAGTGGCAAGCAGACGAGAAATTACAAAGGCACTCCTAGAGATGACGGAACGTTGGTTAGGGTAAGTGCTCCGCGAAAGCCTTTCATGATGTTTCCATGTGACAGTTTGGATAAGGATATTTTTACGAGGAATGAAAGTTATTTGAAAACTAGGTGGAAAATTATCCTTGGAGAGAAAATTGCGATAGACGAAAAACTACAAAACTGAACAGTAACCTCAAATGTTCAAAGTCGGAGAACTTTCAAGCGGTTTGTAGATAAAAGACATGTTATCCTTGCTCTGTTCGTAAAAGATTCCTTCAAAGCGAAGAAGATAGCGAAATATAAGTTTATTGAGAGAAAGAAACGTGTGAAACAAGTAGCCGTAAGCCGAAAAACAACAAGAAAGGTTAAAGTTTTGACCAGCATCTAATTTCTCCTTACAACATCACCCCTGATTCAAACATTTAGGTTACGAGAATAAAGAAGAGATCGCCAACTAAAGAAGCTCTTGATTGTTGAACAAATTCTCCTTGTTAGAACCTTAAGAAACGTATAGAGAACAGTATGGAGAATTTGCAAACTGATGTTCGGATGTAAAGGGTCGAGGACGTGAAAGGCTGTCAGCACAAATCGCAAATGATAGACAATTTTTCCTCTGCTAGGCTCGTAAATTTAGCTAAGCAGTTTACTTCTCTTCTCAGATAACTTTGGACTCTTCAGGGACATACGCTGCCACCAGTTGTTCAGACAAGAGCGTGTGTTTGACTGAGTTTGAGTCTGGTGAATGTGTCGCTAGTATGTCTGGTCATTCAGGTAGGTGAAACAAAAGCCTTGTAAAAGAGTGAGATTGATTTCGTAACAGAAATCATTGTAAACGAGCGCGGACTTAGCAACCCACAGCTTTGGGCATTAACTGGGATTAAGGACAAACGTGCAATAGGTCACAGTCTAAGGATGCTTGTGACTAACTGAACTGTTGGTGAAGACGGGGAATTGAATACACTGCTAGCTGAGTGTGCGCTTGAACTGTTATCTGAGTGGTTGAACGTGCAAGCCTTGTAATGATTGGTTACTGCCGTAGTTATTTGAAATTAAAAAAAAAACTTGAAAGGTTCCCTGAACGTCTGCTCTTTGATAAATGTAACAGACCCTGGAGAAATCGTTAATATTAAGGTGTAAAATGCCTTTCAAGCTTTCAAGTCGAACCCTCCGTACTTTCGTACGATAAGCAATGTTAAAGCTCGCCAGCAACAGTAATTCTTTTATTGTCTTCTCAGAGGTGGTGACTGGTCTGAAATTTTCTGTCGACTGCAAGAATCTCATCTCTGTTGGCGGAGATGGGTAAGTAATGAACGGTGTTTTGATGATGTATGTTTATCAACTTGCGTCTCTCGGTACAAATACTGAATTAATCCTTTAATGAGTTAACAAGACTGAATTTTTCCTTATAATATCAAGCAGGCAAGTCATGAAAATAAAGAAAAATATAAATTAGGGGATTATTAGTTGATCTATTAGCAAATTCTCCGAACTTATGTCGTAAAAATTTTCGTGGGTGACAGTTAAGAGAATTACTTATGAGATCTTGGAAGTGAAAGGGTAGCACCAGACAAAATAGATTCACAATTTTCCTAGTGGTTTTCAGTCTTTGTTGTGTCTTCTTCAATTAAATGCGGATGATCCATAATTATTATATTTATTTTGATTGCTTTTCTTACAACTCTTTCTTTATATGATAGGTGCATCTTTGTGTGGAAAATACCATCAACTTACACCCAGGTATCTCGAGTCATTTTTTCTGTAAAGTGTTGTAAACTTTTCCGATTCTCAAATAACTCAGAGTTTTTAACTAACATTACGTTTCTTGAACTTGTCGCAGGAGAATCAAAATTTTCCTTTGGGGGAGTCAAAAAATCCTCATAGTTTAAATTACAAAAAGAAGTAGTCTGTTTTCTTTTATCTGTGAAATGCAGTCCTTTGCAAACCTCTCATCGTTGACAAAGATAAATACTCAGAACTGATTTCCTTTCACAAATCGACTCACTGTCAAAAAAAAAATGACAAATAGGTGTTTTCTTTTCAAATGATGGAACCATTTGTATGTGGGTAACCTTTTGACGGATATGAATGACTCTTGAATGGACGTATGGTTTGCAAATGTTACTATCGTTTGCTTTCTTCCTCAGAATATGGTGGAGAAACTTCACGTACTTGGAGAGGAGCCAGAAAATAAAATCGAGTTTGGCACTCCCATCAGGTATACCATATTGAATATCATTTTGTTTTTAAGGGAAAATTTATCCTTGTGAATCTCAAGCAAAGAAACTAGTAGTAAACTGATTGCTTGAAGAGGACACTATATTTGTGTTTTTCACTGAATGTTTTTCTACAGACGTGAGACTTACCAAATGGCTCATCCGTCGATAATAGAAACGGCTGAAGAGGACGACTTTGTACCAGCTGATCCTTCAGCGTTCAGCAGACCAATGAAAGGTATACTTAAAATTTCTGCAATCTGATTGGCTAAGCTACATGCCATTTATTCCGTGATGGATAAATTAAGAGAGTAGCTCGTGGTGTGACATAGTTGTATCATTACTTAACAAAGATCTCATTAGTTATTCCCCGTACTTTTTGCCATCTAAGTCTCATGATGTTGGTTCAGAGAATTTGGTACTGGATCTACTTATAATCCCCTGATTGAAATTTTTCTTTTTTCTCATCACTTGTCTGCTCGATGTTGTATTGATATTGCAAGGAGAAATTCTGTATTAGTTACTCACGGGAGTTAAACGGTTAATAACAACACAAGCCTATTTTGAGTGATTAGTAGAGTTTTGTTGTACACAACTAATTAGATTTCTATGCGTGATAGGTGATAAAGGCTTCGCCTTCATCAACTAGTCGATCTGAAAGCAAACTGAATTTACGTCACAATGCTTGAAATTATCGATCCGAATAAGAGTAGTAGATTCGAAGTGATTTTAATTTTTCTGCATACTAGATCCCAGTCCTCCTGTTAAAGATTACCGTTTCAGCGTGGGGCAGCTGCCTGCATGGGCCAAAAAACAGGTTTGTTACTTTGATGTCAGTTTCCATCTAACAGACACCCCAACTTTTCTGCCAGACTTTTCAGAGAAATTTGCTTTATTCGGCCCAAGACTACCTAGTTTTATCAGATGTTCTGAGCGGTTACTGTACTTTTTAGAACTAAACTGAGATAATTTTTTGCCTTTATTTTAGCTCGTCGCTGAAGGAAACGAGAAGACTACGGTTTCTCCGGAAGAGAGTAACACAGGAACAGTAGTTCAACCCGGAGGGCGATGGGCTCAGGTAAGTTGTTAGCTGGATGATAACGACTTGCGCGTTTGTGGCTGCGTGTTTTCCCGCTCTTGGAGTTGGCCAAATGCAAATCTTCCCGCGCTTTCACACGCGGTGCAAATTTTCCCGCGCTTCGCAGGTTGTGTATTCATGATTCCGCTCTTTAATTGTGATTGCTCCGTTTTGTGCCTGGTTCATCTTGATTATTCTGACTTTTAATTGAAGCAGTTTTATGTACTAGATCCTGGTTGGTTTGCAGTTATGTCAGCGTTAAGATTCTTCTAGCTTTCGGGAAAAACCTTGAATGTCACTCAAATAATAACGATAAAACTTGATTCTATCAAAACTGATTTTGTTTTTCTCTTGGAACCTCGTTTTCTCTCTTACAGAGAGTCCAGAATGGTGGTATTCACATTGCTGGTGACAATGGCAAGATAAAACCGATTCCTTTATTGCAAGATCCCACAGGTTAGAGCATAATACAACAGTCAAAAGTACCGCTATACCTAGCAAGTTTCCTAATAACCCAATGAATTATCATCCATTTTACGTCTGAACCGAGCTGAACATCCGGCAATAACGTTCCGATTATTTCAGTCTTAAATTAAGAAATTTGTGGTTTTTTGATTGATTAGATTTAGAAAATACCAGTGTCAGTGAGAGAAAAATTTCTTCAATTAAAAAGAAAACAGTCCTTTCATACTGTGCGATGTTCTCTTCAGCGCTAAGTGATCGCATCTATGTAAGAGGAGATGAGATGCAAGTACTTTCGTTTTTAATGAGTTTATTACTTTGCAGATGGCGGGAAAAGATACACAGTAGAACCGATCTCTCTCCAGGAGCAAATGAGAGCGTTAGCAAGCAGCGTATGTAACATCAGTCAATGATCATAATGAAATTATTAATAATGATAATAACAATAATAATGATAATAGTGATGATAATGATGTTAAAGATCGCTTCACACAAAGCATCCATAGGAAAAGGAGAACTTTTCCCAATTCCAGCCCAAGTCCACAAGGGCGTTTTGGGAACGTTCTTTTGGTGGAGGTAGCTTTTTAAGATTGTAATTGCTTGTTTTGTTCATTTGCAGCCTCTCGAGAGACGTTGCTCACTTACCTATGGGGTAAGGTGATTTATCTTCTGCTTGAGGCTTTTACATTAAAAGGAATAGCTTTTGAATTAGGGCCCAGCAATTAAGTATAACAATTAAACCACGGTCTTGCACAAAAATGAATTGGCAGTCACAAATCAATACGAATAAACAGATGAAATTACGGCATTACTCCCCTTGGGTCGGATGGATGGTTCACTCTAATGGTTTCCAAGTTTTCTTTTGGTATAATTTGATCGACGTTACATGCATCTACCCATTTGTTTTTATTGTTCTCGATCAGCGTAAATATTAATTAAATTTCACAGAGCCAGAAACAGTACATGATGAAAATGAAGCGACAGTCTCAAACTTAGTGTAGCAGGAGGGCTGGAGGGAACGCTGAAATACTTAGCAGCAGACATCAATGCGCGGACTGAGCTTACTTTTCTTTAACAGGAAGATGATGACTTGTTCCCCTCAGACGGCCGAGCAGCGCTGGAGAATTTGAGCGAAGAAGAGAAGAATCATACCGAGGTTGGAAACATAAGCAATCTCGAATTTTTCTTTCGACACTTAATAAACCAACAGAACTTTGAGTTGTAAACACCGCGGTTGCTTGAGGCGAATGCATGTTCTTTGCTTCCTTTGAAAGCATGGTGCTCGACGAGAGCAAACATTGGCTGCAAAGGAGTTTAACAAGTGCTCAGGACTCACTGTTACTTCTTGTTAGCTGTTCCTTTTTAGCCATGCAGAGTTCATCGTTTTTCCGCCATCCAGAGAACACGTTTACTTTTCCTGTTATGCAGAACTTACTTTTTCTTTTCTCGCAATGCAGAGTTCTTCATTATTTTTCCCGCCATGCAGAGCTCACTGTTAATTTTCCCGCCATGCAGAACTTACTTTTACTTTTCCCGCCAAGCAGGAAGCCGCACCGCCAGGCGTCACTGTGTCACGTGGTAGTGATATAATGCCGAAGGCTCGAGTTAGAAAGAGCAGTGTAGAAGTGTCCGAATCAGGAGAACTGAAATTTGAAGAAGCAGAGGAGCTTGATGTAGGGGACGCGAAGGAAGTTATCATCTACCTACCCCCAAGCCAGGATGACTTCGACAGCGAAGTTGCAAGGTCAGAAATGTATCGTGATTATTTCCCCAAAACGGCAAAGGGGCCTTTAAATGGAATTGTGCCGGGACTAGGAGCACCTTTAAGGAACTGCCTCGAGAGGTGCCTGTGAATGTGAAAACGAACCATGGGGGTATCAAGTCCCATTAAGTGCATTTTCTGTTCTGGGCCCCAGTTATTCGAAGGTTAGATAAGTCGCCACCCACTAGATAAATCTCTATCCGGTGCATAGCACAGTACGTTTTGCTATAACTCATCCACGGGATAGCGATTTATCCGTCGGTTAGTGTTATTCGTCCTCTATACGACTGGTCCCTGGTGTTTAGCCACAGGGCTGAAGAATGGTACCTTTCTTAGTGGCCTTTTCTTATGAGCCCCATGTGAGATGGAGCCAACTCTGGACTCGGATTAATCATGTACCAAAACTTTTGATTTCTGAGATAATGGACAACCGTCATTTTAATTCTGGATTACTCTGAACACGACAAGAATTGAACATCGTATAAACACAAACGAATAGATTCGGTAGAATCGTGTTTCAAAACATTAAACCAAGTTTGAAATTAAAATGCGTGGAGAGAAGAATTTTTTTAATATAACCGTTCAATAAGTGACAAAATAGAATCTGAATGCATGAGAGGTGACAGTAAAAACCCCTTCTCAAAATAAAATTACCATCGAAAGCCTAAACTCCATCTTAAGTAAACGTTCAGAGTTATTAATCAACAAGAACAGGAACGCCATCATGATCTTTACCAAAACGGCGACTCTTGATGATTTTGTCTTTTGCTGCTTCTTCATTTGACTTAAATTCTGAATTAAATGTTGAAATTATCAATTATAAGTTTTGAGATAACAGATGGCATGCCTCAACTAACCTTGAATTCGCTCTGACAAGGGCTATCGCTCGAAACGTCAGCTTCGAAACTCTTTACGGCGGCCAATTTGTTATCAACTTAGTTGATAGTACTAAATTACCCTGTTAGTTTCTCTAGAGATGTACGCCCTTTTTCATTTAACCTTGAACCACCCTTGTATAGCGATCCAGGTTAAAACCGTGCTGGTCGCCATGGTAACTAGGACAATTTTGGAGTCTGAATTCGCAGCGATAGTCGCCATTTTGACTTCTTATCCACAGTTCTCGAACATTTTTCTCGTAATGCTTAATTTCTAACACATTTTTCCGCGGAGCAAACCTTCGCCATCGTCCCATTCCTGTTTTTATTGTTTAATGTATAATGTAACTAACACGAACTGTCTTCCTTTTGACACTCGCTTGACCCAGTGCCCCACGGGTCCAAGAATTTGTGCAACATTACGAAGCTTTCCAGTTAAATCATCACCAGTCTTGTCCCAATATCGTTCAACAAGTCAAGAGACTGCGGGGAGATCTGGTTAATCAGGAAAAACCCGTCAAACTGGTTAATGACGAACCGGTTCCGCTTAACAGATCTCCATCGTTAGACCTTCTTCCGTTTCGGGTTGTAACTTGCCTCAGGTAACTTAAAAAAATAATTTAATTGTTTTTCACAATATCGCACTTAAAGTCATTGTTTTAGTAAGTGCAATTATTTAAGGTAAGGTAAATTTCCCCGGCAAAAAATACTCATTTTTTGATAGAATAAAGAACATGGATTTTAAAAGAAAGAGCGAGCTGTCTTATCTGAACAGTTGAGCTTGATTTCTTCAAAATGAGACACGACATAAATAAAATGGTAAATTGTATCAATATTGTTATTAAGTCCTTTCTAGATTAACTTCCCTGAAGTGATTATGATTTTGACACAATAAACCAGTTTCCCTTCCTTCATCGAATGAGTTACAAGTAACTGAGTGTTAAGGAGATTTTTTAAACCGTGAAATAATTTTGAATTTTTCTGTCGTGTTCTTTTTTTCCAGAAGTTAATCACTAAAAATATTTAATTTAATTGCGTGGTAGATCATTTCATCAGTTCCTTAAATGCTCGTAAACTCCTGATGAAATTTCATTTAAACAAGATTTCATATCGATTCTCCTTGTTTGGTTTCACCGTCTTTAAACCAATGCTAATCCTTCCATTCGGCTGCAAAACCGCCTAAGTGAACCAGTGTCCTGGGAAAGAGTTGTTATGTCATGTGGATGGTTGGTGTACTATGTGGTATAACTACTCGCTTGTTTGTATGAATTTTACTCTCATTTGCGTACAGTGAATAAAAAGACAAAGTGAAATAAGTTGTAAGGAAGTATGAAAAGCGTAAACGACGTATCTTAGAATGAATCACTACCTTATCCTAGGCTCCCATTTTACTTACGCGGCTCTGTCCCAGTCCGGAAGTACGATAGCAGATATCAAATTTTTTTTATTGAATTGGTTGAAAACGTTACAAATTTTTCTCCCTTAGTTTTCTTTCTGATTGACTGCTCAGTTAACGGTTCTGTCCGTTTAGCATTGTGGTTACTTTGTGTTGATTTTATACCTTGGATTTATAAAAACTGTATTTACCAATTTGAGTAGTTCTAGCTTAAACTGTTCTCTTCGTCTTTCATCAGAGCTTTCGAGTTGTCTGTCGCCGAGCGGCCAAAGAGATTGTCTCTTACAGTAGAAGATCCCAAAGGCGAAGAACAAGAGGTAAAAGCTAAACTTTCAATAAATAGCTGCTTCGAACAGTCTCAACTATTACTACTAGTACAGTGCAATTTTCGATTATGTGTTGAAATTTGTCTGGAATTTATTGGTTTTCCTTTGCTTCCTTAAGTGAGTGGTTGAGGAAACGGGTGCTATCTTAATCAATCAGATGTAAAGATAAAACTCATCGCTACATGTCCACTCCCGCCTTTCCACCCCTCGGGCCGTTTGCTTCTTTTGAATTTGAGTTCTCATTGGCTCCTAAACACTCAAGTTACGTTATGTTTTTTAATTACCTTGTCTTTGCTAAGAATTCGTTGCCTGCTCATAAATAAATCTCATTTTGCATTAGGGTTGATTTAATTGAATTTTTTTGTTGGATTTTTAGGGCAAAGACAAAGGTAGAGTGGAAGAGAAAGGAACAAATTCTCGTAAGATCCTGTTGGAAAAACTTTTCTGTTGTCCAGCATGTTTCAGAACAACTTGTACTTTTTTGTTTGCTCAGACAATAGTCATCAGTTTGAAACAGCTATATTTGCTGAACTGTCGAGGGTCGGAAACATTATACGAAGGGTCTTATTGACGATTTTGTTTCGTTTGGAGTGGAGAATGTTTATAAAAACCTTTTTCCCTATGACAAGATTTTGTCCCGAAACATGTCGCCCAATTTCAAGCATTCTTAAATTTGTTCTTGAGATAGAGGCGACAAAATGAGTAGAAGCGACTAACATGCTAAGCGGTCAGTCGCAACTCAGCTTGCTTCCTTTCCCCCAAGGTGTCTGTGATCCCCTTTACTTTACTGTGCTACTTCACAAAATGTTGAGAAGTGTCTCCAATTTTGCTTCATGGAATGTAACTATGTCCTTGTTCTCGGATACAAAGCTTCCAGTGAAGACGATGAAGACGAAGTGATAAGTCCGTCGGAGGATACCACAAAGCCATTTGGTTACGATGAGAACAAGCCCGAGGGAGGGGAGGATGAGGAGATGGTTGGTCGCTATTTCGAAACTCTAGGTACCAGTTCTCCAGCGCAAAAAGCGGACGAGCAAGTCACAGAGCCGCCGCCCCTGGACACGGATCGGCTGATGCGGACCAGGCTGAGTATCTCGGCCAGATTTTTGTCGCGTTCGCACCAACCTGGAAGGTTTGAAAACATGTACTGTATTAGTAAACGCTCTAAGTAGCCCCCTCCCTCCACGCTTTCCCTTTTTTAGTTGAACCTGGAGTTTCCAGTAAGCTTCCCCATTTGTAAAACCTTTATTCCCTTATAACCCCCACTCCTTTAGTGTAATACTTTAAGTTTCTGAGAAGCCTCCCCTCTCAAAAGAGTCCCCCTCTTTGATAATCCCTCCCCTGAGAAACTTCCGGTACAGATTTCAAGTTTCTATTGAGCTTTTCCCTGTTAAAGAGCCCCCCACTTTGGACCTCTCCCCCTCGTGTAGGACGTCCTCTTCCCCCTCTCTGAGAAAAAATTAAAGTATTGCCTTCCCTTAGGCTAGGTAGTGTTTCAAGAGAAGGTTGGCTGAATAAATTAAGGTTTTGGTAAATTCCTCGGTTTCAGAGAGGTAAGAAAAAGCTTCGACGTTCCGAACGTGTTTGTTGAAACGCAATAGTCGCGAAACAGTTAAATGGAATTCAAACTTTTTATTCCTTTGTCTTTAGGATTGGTGTAATATCGACAAACCTTGATGAAGAGAAAGGAGAAAATTATCATTCAGATGATGTAAGTTTTTTTTTTGTCCGTTTTTTCGGGAATGTTATTAAATTATTCTGTTGACTTGGAAGTCTTCTTACTAATTGAGTTCCCATGATTTCTACGCATTTTTTTTTCATTTCCTGTCTTTTCTTTAGAACATGAGTCCTGTTTTGATTATAGAGAGAGTATAACCCCAACCAACTAATGAAATTATTAATTGCAATTGATTTATTCATTCATCCATTATTTTACTGATTAACTGACTGACTGGCTGATTGATTGACAGACTGACTGAATGACTGACTGGCTGGCTGATTGACTGACTGGCTGGTTGATTGACTGATTGACTGATTGACTGACTAACTGGCTGGCTGATTGGCTGGCCGGCGGGCTGACTCACTGACTGACTGGCCGGCTGGTTGATTGACTGATTGACTGACTGACTGACTGACTGACTGGCTGGCTGATTGACTGACTGAGTGGCTGGTTGGCTGACTGACTGACTGACTGGCTGGCTGGCTGGCTAATTGACTGACTGACTGACTGACTAACTAACTGGCTGGCTGATTGACTGACTGACTGGCTGGGTGGCTAGGTGGCAGATTGACTGATTGACTGACAGACTGGCTGGCTGACTGACTGACTGACTGACTGGCTAGCTGATTGATTGCTCTATCTGGAAGAACACCACACTAATCATCACATCCTCTGTTTGGGTCAGTTACTATGAACAGCAATCAGCATGTGATTTAGAATGTAAGTTTCCTTAATATTATTGCAATTTTTTTCTTTTTTTAACGTTATTCCTTTGCATTGTTAAAGTCCAAACAGGATCTGCAAAGGCGTAAAGAAGAAATGGCGCAGGCTGTGGAGGCTACTCGTAAACGACTCGAAGCTGTAAGTAAAGTTAACAATACTTCTTCGTGCAAACCCACCACAGATCAGTTGTTGATATTCATGTGGCCGATAAGCAAATCGTAGAAGAGTCATTTCTTCTTTGACTTTTTGCTTTTCCCTTACGCTTTTTTCTGTCGCTCGCCCAAAGGGATCCCGTTCGTGACAATTTAGCAGGAGCATCGCACACTGCCGTCATTCCGCGTTATGCATCAGTATCGCTGTTCAGCGCTGGACGAAAGCGTTCAGTTTTGAGTTGATGGTCTAAGTACTGCAGAACTGCTTTGGTTTGAGTTAACATTTACCTTTATCAGCGGTACATGTGAACTCAAGAGACATAATCGGGTCGCTTCGACAAATCAAAGTTAAATGAGCAACCTTCATCACAGGCTTTGTTCCGTGATTACTTGCAATACTCCTGTGTTTGATCTGAATTCTCTTTGTTTGTTACCTTGTTCGTATTTGTTCCTGCTGGTCACTGCAGTTTTTTTTAGTTATGATTTGTTGTTAAGCTCTCTAGTTTTTGGGATTGACTGTTTAATTTTAGCTTTTTTCGGTTTTAGTTTCTCGGCAGTTTTTGAAAAATTGATCTCGCCTATGCTTATTTTATTGTTCAGCTGGGATGGAAAGCTAAGGAAGACATATTGAAGAAGATGCCAGTCAACAGTGCGACATCAACAGCAACTATAACCTCCGTCTCTTCTGTATCCAGCACAACTGTCATTTCTTATTCTAAAAGCACAACAATTTCATCCAACTCCGGATCATCTCCAAGCACTGCAGCTGAAGAGCCTGCCTCCAAAACTAGTACTGTGTTATCGTCTGTCTCGACTACACACACTTCATCCGTGAGTGCTACCTCAAAAACCAGCACCGTCACCACATCTATGTCGTTTACACCCACTACAGTCGTTAATTCTGCGTCTGGCTCTGGTAAAAACGGAGACAGTACACCCGTGTCTGCATTAACAGAGTCAAGCAGTAAGCCTTCCGTCATAACTAACCTGCTTGAGGTATGTAGAGATACTACCCCCGAATTCCGCGATCAAGCCTGTGACCCACCTTCATCTTTAATCCTGATAATCTTATCCATCATGATTCTTCAAAATTTAAAATGACTTCAGTTCTATCACCTTTTATCACTTGGGTGACTACCAGCAGTCCCTCTTCTTCGTCGAAGTCCGTCGCGCGGGTTGAAAACGCAAAAGTCAGCGAAAAAAAAATATTAAAGCGCTGCTTTTCTTGTGCCTTGCTCCCAGAGGTCCGCGTTTTTTTTTTCTTCTCACCAACTTGACCCGCACGACGGACTCCGCCAAAAGGCAGCGGTTGCTCGTAGTCCAGAAAAAAGTTGGTGCAATATCTCTGGAATACCTGACTAACTCCTACTTAAACTCTAACTCCCTGATGTAACCTCTTCCTTAATATCACCGTACTGCCAAGCAAGTAGTTGCGAGGAAAAGCGAAACTAAACAGCTCATGGATGTTACCTTCATATGTTATCACTTTTCTCAATTAGTTTACAAGGATATGTAACAGAACTGATTGTTAGAATTGCGATTCAGAGCTTGTTTCAAAGTTAAGTACGCATTTTAGCGTATGCGCGTCATAGCTACGTGTTGTCTTGTTTAGTTAATTTTCCATGTTGATGTTCGCCTGGCAGTGAGTATTTTTTTTGGGTTGATGTTATTTACAGACGCGATTAGCAGATGTCCAAGAGAACTGCAAGGAGGAACGGAAGGATCAGTCGGCTAAGAAAGATATTCCTGAGTCGAAGAAAGATAATGTCTCAAAGGCTGACGATACCGAGAAATCCAAGCGTACTGCGTCCAATCTGATTGCGTTTTTCAGTCAGTCAAAGTCATCTAAAAACAAAGACAAGGAAAAAGAAAACTCGAAAGAAAAAGAGAGAGCAAAATCGAAGGAAAAAGACAAAGAGAAGGGAAGAGCCACACCCCCACTGGTCAAGGAGATATCTGATTTAAAATCTACCTCCGGGGGTAAACTTGAACGGCGGGGCTCTGAGGGAAAATCATGGCGAAAATCGCTGGGAATTCTAGGGGGAAGTTCCAAGCATGACAAAGAAGACAAACATAAAAGGCATTCTGAACCCAGATCTTCAACCCCACCTGACATGTTGTCGAAAAACGCGCTTAAACAAAACGAGAGGGAGGACAAATTGAATAAGAAACCAACTGAGCCTCGTTCGTCCACACCGCCTGTTGACAAACAAATGAAGAATTCCCAGCCAGCGAAACACCACGAAAGCACTTTAAAAACTGTAAAAGAAGAAAAAGAAAAAAAGTCACCCACTAAACCACAGCCTGAGCGGCGATCGTCTAATACGTCATCCGAGCTGGCGGGAAAAACTTCTCAGCCGCCTGGCGCTAAAACAAACGAGACTTCTTTGACTACTTCGTCCAGAAATGCTCCTTTAAGAGAGAAGAAAGGACGGGTTTCTAGTGAGGAGAGACGAGAAAAATCGCGGTCGTTAGGTGACATAGGTAGCAGACTACACAAAGTAGAAGAAGTGTCTATTTTAGATCCGAGTGTGCCGCCATCTAGAACTGTTGATACTATGGATATACCGAATCAAATAAAAACAGCTGAAAAACGACCCAAGTCAAGCGCCGGTATTTTGGAGACAACCCCACCTCAGACGAAAAAACC